AACAAAGATCTCACCTGGTGCACACAAATGTTACACTTGTCACAAAAGACCATGTCATTGCCCTCCTCGCTGTCGGGTGAGCGACATACATCACAGATGACATCCTCATCGTACTCTATTCCCAACCCTTCCTCAGTCTCGATGGCGTGGTTCATTTTGTCATGGCACTGTCTCTCCAATGCCTCCATCACCCGCTCCATCATCAACTCATTCACTGGCCCGTCACCTGAATGTAACATCCAAAATGTACTTTATCCCCTGAAGCATGTCATGAGACCAAATCTTATAGGGAACCATTTCTTCTCACTTACCCATAATCCCAAGTTCTGCATTGAGCTGCTGAAGCCAGTATAGGTCCATATCGTCCAGGTCATATCTACACATAGCTTCTGCCAGCTCCTTGAAGTTAACGTAACCCGTCTCCGTAGAGTCCTGACTGCAGCTTTGAATATATTTCCTTGGTTTGGTGAAGAGGACCTCCTTTGGCTTCTCTGCTATTATCCTACACACAAAAACCCCAACTTCAGTGACATGCAAGATGGTACATGTCCAAAAACCTGCTTTTATTCAAAGTGACATACCTCACAGAGGGCTGAGGGATAGTGTCTGGACTAGCGAGTACTTGTACACCCTTTTCCCATTCCTGCTTCCATGTGTCCGCCAACAGGTAATAATCGTCAGGAGAAATATGGTGAGAGTCTGGAAGCTTCATGGCACTGATCAAGTCTTTTCTGAACACCTACAAGGGAGAAATAACCTTAATGAGTGATACAACCAATTTTATTGTAGAAATACCTCATTCATAGGGCTGGTGGTAAAAACGAGGAGGTGTTTTCCATTGCGCTTACCTCTGCTGGTTTCTTCTGAGCAGAGGCGGGGGTGCCTGGTTTGCTTCCATACTTGTTAGAGGAAAAGGATGTCGAGGGACCTTTATGATACAAACACGGAGTGAGCCAAGAATAAACATCTTTGTTCTGTATGAATCTTACAAGTAGATTGAGAATTTTTTAAGGCTCATTTTACTTACTCTCATTGTCTGAACTGTCACTGCTGCTTGAAGTCCTGAGTCGTTTCATCCTGACGTATCCTGCAATGAAAGCCAGAGAAGTACAGCTTTAATACATCTTCAACTAAACAATGTTCCGCGTAAATCCATTTAGGTACAATGCTTTCACCTACACTGAAACAACAAAGCTGTTTTCACATAACAGAAGAAAAAGAAATATCAAAAAGCAGTGGTTTGCAAGTACTAGTAGCCAGCATTACTTAATATAAAATAGAAATATCTAAACAGAAAATATCTGAAACAAATAAATTGTTATACATCTACTGCACAAAAGCAGCAAGAACTAATATCAAATATAAACGATTAACAGGCGCAAGCTTAGGCAGAGTTTCTATTTAGGCTATAACACGTGTTTGTTGCGTTGAGCAATGTTGATTTCTGGAATGCAATGGCCAGTCAGGAGTGCAGTGCTAAAATGTGCGTGCTCACAAATCTTCTCATTATAACACACGAATTGTAGACATTATGAAAGATTCATCATACATATATTCATTGTGTTATAACAAGAGCTTTGTGGGATTGCGATTAATTGAGATGTCATCTTTTTAGAGATTATAAAAGCAGCGCTATTTGCTGGTATTCTGTCATCCCAAACCATGTACACAGCAGCCTATGCATGCTCTAGTTAAAAATAACAGTGTTTTGTGAATGTTGATGCTTTAATAACAAATATTTATCTGGAGCATTTATGCTGGGATTTCATGTATATTTCATGGATGTAGCCACAGAAAAAAAGTAACGTTATATATATATATATATATTCAATTTCATTAATTATATTAAACCAATTTTCTATTTTAATCATTTAAAAAAAAAACTATTTATTCCTATGGTGGAAAAACTGGATTTTTTAAATCATCCATTACTGATCCTTCAGAATTCATTTTAATATGCTGATTTGGTGATCAAGAAACATATCAATGTTGAAAACAATTGTGCTGTTATTATTTTAGCTGGAAATGGATACATTTCTTTTAGGATTCTTTGATGAATAAAAAATTCTAAAGTACAGCATTTATTTGAAATAGTATGACAAAACATTTTTGCATCCTTTCTGAATAATGTATTAATTTCTTAAAAAAAAAAAAACAATCCTACTGACCCAATACCTTTGAATGGTAGTGTAAATATTGCTCTTTATTACCATGCATTGGTATTTTGTGGCATATCAAATAAAAGAATATAAATCCAAGAAAATAATATAATTCTACTCTGCATTTACTCTAAAAAGAACATTTTTATATAGATGTTTTGAATAGTTGTTAAAATAGGTACTTACTATTGACCAATATGTGACCCTGGACCACAAAACCAGTCTTAAGTCACTGGGGTATATTTGTAGCAATAGCCAAAAATACATGGGTCAAAATTATAGATTTTTCTTTTATGCCAAAACTCATTAGGATATTATGTAAAAATCATGTTCCGTGAAGATATTTAGTAAATTTCCTATCGTAAATATAACAAAACTTAATTTTTGATTAGTAATATGCATTGCTAAGAACTTCATTTGGACAACTTTAAAGGCCATTTTCTCAATATTTAGATTTTTAGCACCCTCAGACTCCAGATATGCTTGACCAATATGTGACCCTGGACCACAAAACCAGTCTTAAGTCACTGGGGTATATTTGTAGCAATAGCCAAAAATACATGGGTCAAAATTATAGATTTTTCTTTTATGCCAAAACTCATTAGGATATTATGTAAAAATCATGTTCCGTGAAGATATTTAGTAAATTTCCTATCGTAAATATAACAAAACTTAATTTTTGATTAGTAATATGCATTGCTAAGAACTTCATTTGGACAACTTTAAAGGCCATTTTCTCAATATTTAGTATAACAAAACTTAATTTTTGACTAGTAATATGCATTGCTAAGAACTTCATTTGGGCAACTTTAAAGGCCATTTTCTCAATATTTAGATTTTTAGCAACCTCAGACTCCAGATATGCAAATAGTTGTATCTCTGCCAAATATTGTCCTATCCTAACAAACCATACATCAATGGAAAGCTTGTTTATTCAGCTTTCATATGATGTATAAATCTCAATTTCGGAAAATGGACCCTTATGACTGGTTTTGTTGACCAGGGTCACAAAAGATTATTACAGGTTTATATTGTATATCATTACTAAACAGCCAACTTTAAAGGCCATTTTCTCAATATTTAGATTTTTAGCACCCTCAGACTCCAGATATGCAAATAGTTGTATCTCTGCCAAATATTGTCCTATCCTAACAAACCATGTTGAGATTTATACATCATATGAAAGCTGAATAAACAAGCTTTCCATTGATGTATAAATCTCAATTTCGGAAAATGGACCCTTATGACTGGTTTTGTTGACCAGGGTCACAAAAGATTATTACAGGTTTATATTGCATATCATTACTAAACAGCAATGTGGCATTATAATTTTGATGGGTTTTTACATGTTCAAAGGTAAATTAAAGTACCATGTAAATATGACATATGAACATGGTAATCATTCAGTACCCTGAAATAGATGTTATTACCATAGAGGGCAGCTTTAATGAATTTCCTTTCACGGAGCAGTTTTTCGCTACGGTTTTCCTCCACTGTGCTGCTTCTGTCTCTTGCTCATGCCTGAAAACAAAGAACAAGACTTGAGAAGTGAACACATACGGTTCACAATTTGAATGAAAATGTAAGAGTACTAGGTAAGGTAAGAGTACTGATAGACAGCCAGCAAAGCACAGCCTGCACTGTGATTTATTATGCTCCAATACCTGACTGAGAGGCCTCCTTAAATAAATATTAACCAAGCTCACTAGGAGCAATTGCAGCCAAACCACACATATGAAACTATGTATGTACAGACACATCTTAAAAGGACAACTTATAAGCAAGGCAAATTATTACAAGTGAGGATATTTCTGTTTAGATTAATTCACTCACTCACTACCAATTCAAACAATTGATGCATGTCATTTCTGTGCACAGACAACTATTGGACAACCACTGAACGGTGTTTGAGAAGCGGTTGCCTATTTTGTCCAAACACTTCACTTGGTTAACATAATTCTAGTGTAATCCTTTATTATCAAACTGGTACGGATCACTAGTACAGTACAAAAAAAGTATTTTATAAATGAGATAAACTCTATAATTTAAGTTTAAGACTCCATGACTCTATGACTGCTGCGCACTGCAAAGTCTCCAGACTAAGTAAACAGAAAAAGCACTCAGTGTGCCTCTTCAACGCTCCATGAAGGACTCTTGACGTGGATCTAAAGCCACATTTGTGACAGTAACAGACTGGCTTTCAAACCCACAGAGGAACATCTGCTTCTGACACACACACTCTCCCATTCGCATAGTGTGAATGTTTTAAAAAGGAAGCACTTATGAAACTGAATAGGTTGGTGTGACTTGCTCACCACATTCGTAATTAGGAGTTGGGCCGTATCTATCATAATATTAAAGAATTAGTATTGTAGTGTCACAGAAATTTTGCACCAAATCCACTTAGAATGAGTCAGCATTGTGTGATTGACTCTTATCTGTAAATAAGACTGTTAATCAAGACCAGTTAAGAACGTTATAGAGGGCTTTTCTCAAATTTGAGGTTTTAAGTCAAACTACAAATTTGCTGAAATGGGAGGCTATCTGATCTGGGTGGCCTTTCTTTGTGGTACAAAATGACACGGTCCTAAAACCAACCCCCACTCCTACTGCGCCATGGTAAAGCACAATGCTCTGCCCAGACAGACCACCCCACACCCCAACACTAACAGATCAGCGGCTGCTGAGAGCTACTTCACCCCCACACCCACCTCACATTGGCATAGTGTGCCAAAAACCCGTCCCATTTACTGGCTCTATTAGAGATGCACTGCACAAATCAACTACTCTTTTACGTTGAACTGACCATTAAGAATTATACAGATTAAAGTAGTGGTGTTGCGCTAGTGAACAAATCATTTAGTAGATGTTGCTTGCTGTTGACTTCCATGCACTGACTTTTATTTTTCCTTCATTTCCTGCTTTCAAAGACTGACTGCACTGTGAACCAACAGTTTGAGTACAGACAGAGAAATATTTCATGGACCTGCTGAAAGCATATGTCTCTTGACTAAACAAATGGGTATTATGAGACTGAGAGCAACACTAACCAAAAAATCTCTGCATGAACAAAATGAACTAGGGCATCTTGTTTGTGAACGATATGAACAAATTGGGAGATTTTATTTGTGAATGAGAAACTGCTGATGGACCGGCCAAGAAAGGATATTTCATTTGTATTGAAAGGATCTTTTCATATCCTTGTTCATTTTGTCATTTGAGTCAACAATAAAATTATGATGCTACTTTCTTAAAAATAAGGGTTCCTTTTTTTTATTTTTTTTTTAGAAGAACATGGGTTCCACAAAGACCCTTTCAGAGAACAGTTCTTAAAAGAACAATTTTTTTTCTTAAGGTGCTTTCACGTTAACAAAATTTTGGCAATATTTTACAGGCAAAAAGGTCCGATGTCTTTTGTCAAAGTTTAATGATTTATTATAGCACATCTCCCAAAGAAATCTCTTTTATACCAAGTAGCTTTCTGTTGGTCAACAGAGTGAATCCAGCTGACTCTCCGGAACCTGTTGTAACATCAGCGTGTAGAAATCTTTCACTGGAATTACCTCCTCTCCTAGGTTCACGAAACGGTCGTCCATAAAATGCATTGCTGTTCTGTTGTAAGTAATCTAAAAGATTCCTAAATGCATCTACTTCCGGAAGGCCTAATAAAGTGCTTTTGCTTTCGCACTGAAACACACAGCGTCTCCCTGACATGTCTGCATCAACACTAAATGCGGTTACTGAAACCACGCCTTCCTTCTTTGCGTGCACATTTGGGCGGCATTATGCTAATATTTCCACATAGTGAGGTAGATATGTGGGGGCGTGTTAGAACGAACCGTTTTAGGGGGGCGTGGCAGAGTCTTAACTTTGATAAAGTATATCTCTTTGGTTTTGAGACTTTAGTCTTTGCAACTTCAGGGATCTTATCTATGCACAATCAGCTTGTAAAACTCAAGAGAAAGAAAAACTTTAAATTGCATCATATGACCCTTTAACAAGAAAATAGCTTTGTTGTATTTGCATAACAATGACACCTACATAGATGTTCACTGAACGATTGTATAAACAAATATATTTTAGTGAAATTATTCAAAAGACTCGATTCACTGAAAGCAAAATCCCTCCATCTAGTGCCCAAACTACTTCACCTCGGCACCTAACTCACACTGGCCTAGTGTACTAGCAAACCTTTATTTACTGACTACAAGACGCACAATATAACTGACCTATGCAAAGTTACGCAAACCCCAACATTTGTTAATAAGTATCTTAAATGTTTACAATTTATTAAAGTCAAATTAACCATACACTAAAAGCATGCAGATTAACGCCAGCGGCCAGGGATTTCGCGGGAGGGAAACGGAAGCTCGAGAAGGGCATTCCAGCATTCCAACAACAGTACTTCCGCTCTGAACTTCGTCGCACTGTGCTCCTACTGCTTCAGAATTACAACTAGTCATACTGTTTTCGTGTCATTTATTCATTTGCTTTTTACAAAGTGCTCGCCATTTTATACACCAATGCATTCTGTCGGTTGAATCATTCATTGCGCTAAAGATTTAGCATTTGTGTTATTTACCAAACGAGGAAGATTTCACAAAACAAAGTAGTTTCCTTACACGGTTCATATTCATAACATAAAAAGTGGGCGACAAAATCCAGCGAATAAATATAGAAGTGTAATTATGCAACAACCCAGTGCTCATTCACCAAATGCACATCGCCTCTTTGTAAGCATGATGCAACGAAAAGAATCGTTTAACGAGCCCTTGTGTTGTTATGTTTCCCACTCAGTCATTACTCCCATGCTGGCTGAACAGATCAACTCTGCAAGTCCACACAGCTAAATAAAGAACGGAAGGGTAAACACAGCAATGCTTTACCGTAAAGTCTCCCTAAACAGCACTACTGTGTCTGTGTGTGAGCATGCTGGCGTCCTCCATTGCTGTATGCGCGAGGGTTTCTGACGGCCTTGGCGCCAAACTCGAGTTGGGATATTGAACCGCCTCCAGTCCCTACAATACCTTCTCCTGTTATAATAACACGTCCTGTGGCTATATAACAACATTCTGTGCGTGATCGCAAACTTTAACGCGAGGATAATGTTATCGCTGCTACCAATATTGTCCCAGTTGTCTAATATGAACGTAAAACCCTGCTCGTAAGGGATCTGTAGGAAGCAGCAGGCCTGGATAACTGGCACACTGAGCCCCGTGTGAAGACACGAGCAGTATTGTTCGTGCTGCACCCTTACCTCTCATCCAAAAATCCAGCGTTTCCGCACGATCGCACAAAGCGATAGACTCCACAAGGCCGTCTTCAAGTCAGCAGTCCAGAGATGCGGCAAATATTCGTATTTTCGTTGTTTTTTTTCCTTTTCTGTCTCACTGTCAATATCCCAAAAGCAGAAATCACCCTCTCACCAGGACACAACAGCGCTATTGTACCACCAGACCGCTAGGTCCCAAACTCCGCCCTATTCATGGCCCTACTGAGCGCCAGTGGAAACTGGAGTATTTAGCATTCTTCTTTTCAGTGGTAGTTAAATCTCCTTTGGATGCCACTATGGAGGGCTGTGATGTAGGTTAGTTAATTATTACGTTTTATAGTAAATGGGCCATTCTACAGAATTGGTGCAAACTGCTGTCCCACAACCAAATAACACATTTAAAAAGCATGTAAGTATTCAAATCTTAGAGGTTTACTAAGATCCTTGTATTATCTATTGAAACCCACAATATTTAAAATATTAGTGAGCTTAATATTTATAGCGTCATCATTTATTGGGTACTTTCAATTGGGAGGATGGCTGTCTCAAACCCTAAGCCCTAAATTTCAACTTATGATAAGGATGTTTAAATTATTATTTTAATTTTTTTCCCCCATTGTTGTTTTTAAAAGTATCTTTTTGATTCTTTAAAAAGTGAAGTAAAAAAATAAATAAATAAATTATATATATATATATATATAAATTTAATATTTTCTTAGTAAATTATGAAACAAAAAAAATGTGTCTGGGCATTTTCATGTCGCTACCGAAACTGTGTGTTTTAGTCCATTGGCTGAGACTGATTTTAACCCTACATTTATGGTCAGAAAACATTTATGTCACTCATGGTGAGTAGATGGGTCCCATCATTTCGAGGTAAATGTGTGAAAAATCTGTGTGTAACGTCACTATCGAGCACCTTTTTTCTTTTTCAAGCACACTTTTTTGGGAGTCATTCCATAATATTTAGTTTTTATATGTGTACCACTGTTGAGAACTGTGCTAGCTAACCATGTGCTGATTAGCATCTTTGAGCTAGGTTCAAAAGTATCTAAAATTGTCACTACTGAAACATTACGCTGAGTTTCGGTAGTGACAAAAGGGAACACAATCCTCAAATTTGGGGAAAATAAACAATTTTAGTCCAGTTAAGCAAATTTTTTTGAATTTTAGTATGTTCAAATTCTGTAATATGATGTGGTCACTACCAAAGCGTCACTACCGAAACATGTCACATTTTTGTTAAAAATAAAGTATATTAAATGATCAACTAAGATGTTATGATAGTTTTTGGTTCAATGTATATTCAAACTAGTGAATCCTTAACTTTGAGATCAGTATGGTCAACTTTTTGCCTTTTACAAAGAAAAACTGGATTCAAAATACAACAAATCTCATAAATTACACTTGAAATATTGTTAAATATTTAATTGTTATTGATTTACCTCTGAAAAAAAATTATAATAGCAAAAATATATATTTACAATGTAGTTGTAAGCAAAATCTTAATAGGATTTGTACATAATATACATTATACTTATGAATAAAATAAGGTCTGTGACAAAGGTCATATGACGAATATAAATTTTACTCTCAAGAATTACAACTTCTTCAGGGATGTGTTTTTGAGCTTGATAAATCAGACAACCACTGTGGTTCTTATTTAGCAACTCAAAACATCTACAAAGTCTAAGTAATCCTTACCACATAACCAAGCCAAATTAGCCTTCCAGGTTGGCCTTCAAACTGTTGTCATGTTTCTGACATTATGTAACACTACTTAACCAGATTTTATAGTAACTCGCAATCTCTTTCTGTAATCAAATATGTACTCAACTCACAAAACTATTTGCACCAGTTGATATTCGTCTTAATACATTAGTGTCGTAAGATGTAGCCTATCTTTGTGTCTATTTGCAGATAAAAAGATGACACATAACTTTTGACTAAAATGAATGTATTGACAAATCACAGCTTATATTTAACGCTACAAAATTGTCTCGTACAAATAAGAACCATTTAGAAATAAAAAAAGCACACTGTGATTCTCTCAAATGTACAAACATTTTTTGGTCACAGGAAAGTTGTGCTCGCTAAAACGTTCCTACAAAAATAGAGCAGTGTTAAGGAGACAACTAAAGCTCCTTTTAGTAGTACATTCAACATATCAGATGGAACTTTTTACATTCTTATTAGAACAGTGTTACCTTAAAAACTTATATAGAGGTCTAATGTTATTTGTTTACATTTTTTCAAAAATACTGAAAAAGCATAGTAAATACAAAGTCAAAAGCCATGCTAACAAGAAAAGAAATTAAACACATGGCTATATGAGTAAATATATATTTCTGTTAAATATTTAAAAAAAACCTGATTCAACAATTCATGTTTTCTGGCATTTGACAAATACTTTTTACAGCTATCTATTATACACAAACGAAATGACTATACAATACGTACTGAAAACATGTATACAAGCAAAGGAGAATAAAACACAATTTCCAGCTATACATTTAGGGGAAAAAACTATTCAATAAATATCTATATAATCAAATTAATTATTTTCAGCATAAGTGATAAATTGTCCACAGTAATGTTTGATTAGAAGTTCCAGTTCTTGATTTTGTTCTCTATCTAAAGGCACTTGCCTTCATGATTGGTAACAAATACCCTCACTGACTATATGCCTGTTTCATTGGCATGAAAATGTAAAATTTTTAGATCACAGAGCAAATCTGTCTGTTAAAATAGTGGTTATAAACCCCTAAAAGTGTTGAGATATCAGTGGCTTCGCATATGTAATTCCAATTCACTGAAATGACAAAACTGACAAAACCAAACAAATATAAACCCACATTAATTTGAGGTGCTCCTCTGCGCCAGTTTCACAGTCCCATCTGCATGTCAGCAAAGTTGAAAAAGTTGTCGACATCACGCGAGGATGTATTTTTGCTCTCAGAAACAAACAGCTGCAGGAAAAGCAGCAGATAGCATGAAAAGCGTTAGATGATCAGAGCAAATCCTCAAGAGATAGACTTGAGAAGTAATAGCTTCCTCTTATATTTACCTTAGTTCCATTGAACACTTCATTGGCAATGGATCTACACGCCTCCACCACACCATCTCCATTCAGCTCAAGAGCTACCACTGAACCTGCAAGAACACAGATCAGTTATAAGAGACATATATATTTGCCTGTACATGTTCTTATGTGGTATAACACAATGCATTACGGCACCTTTGGTGATCCACTCAGTGAGGCTTTCTGCGTTATTCTGGAACACTCGGTTCACATCCTCAGGGCGCATGGAAACCTCTTTGGTCTGAATGAGGACAAAGCCTTGGGTGGTCGCCTGCATTTAGGTGGATACAAAAAATGAATGTCACAAAATGAAAGGATTTTGCAAATCAGCTTGGTTATGCATTGGTGAACAGACTGGAGTTTATGTGTGTTTTTTTTTTTTAATTGTGAACCATAAAAATAAAACTAAATGATCACCACTATAAAGTTATTCATTTCGACGTAAAGTCAGTAACAAAAAAGGTGAAATGCATGATACTTGGGTCCCTTTCTGTCTCTTCCTCACAATTTCGCTTTGACAAATCCATACATTGCAGAGGGCAAGGATAGTTTAGGTAAAAAATATTGCTGTAGTTAAAAGCCATGTGAAATCAACATTACTTTTTTTATTGCACATTTGTTGTGTTAATGTGAATGATTCATGTGAATGATGTGCTATGATATCAATGTTTCCAGTTTTACCCTTCTAAAATGATTTTACAGTATCTTCTGTATATTCTACAGTAGTACTTCATGGATGTAAATGTTTTTAATAATGTGTTGAACTTGATAGCTAAACAAAATGCAGGAATGAACACCAAATCAGTGGTTCTTTCAGGTACACAATTATTGTTATAATTTTCCTTGCATTCTGCATAAAAGGGTTTCATATTTATAACATTTGGATTCATGGCAAGAAGCCGCAGAGCAAATTCATTTGAATTGGATTTGTTAACTATGGCTGAAGCTATTATACTGTGAATTGTCAAATCAGACCCTTACAACTACGCAGCAGAGCCCTTCCTGTTTAGCCTATCCTGCTTTTGGTAACAAAATAATAGAACAAACAATAAAGGTGCCTACAACCGAAGATATTTTCAGACAGTCAGTCACTTCCTTAACTTCTGCAAGTAAGCCTTTTTTTGGCGTCAAAAGGTTAATCAGGCAACATCTGTAATTTAAAGGGGTCATATGATGCGATTTCAAGTTTTCCTTTCTCTTTGGAGTGTTACAAGCTGTTCGTGAATAGATAAGATCCCTAAAGTTCCAAAGACTAAAGTCTCAAACCCAAAGAGATGTTCTTTATAAAAGTTAAGACTCGTCCATGCCCTCATAAAACGGCTCGTTCTAACATGCCCCCAACATGTCTACAACACTATGTGGGAAGATTTGCATAACACCGCCAAAATGTTTACGCAAAGAAAGAAGGCATAACTTTGTTTCTCGCTGTAGTATTGTTGTTGCTGCCGCTGCCATGACATGGGGACGCTGTGTGTTTCGTTGTGAAAGCGAAACTACTTTGTTAGGCCTTCCAAAAGAGGACACGACTAGAAATCAGTGGTTAAGTTGTATTTACAACACTGTTCCAGAACAGTTCAACCCAAATATTTAGATGTGTGCAGCGCATTTTACAGAGGACGAGGACTGTTTCCTGGGAGAGTAGCCTACAATTCCGGTGTTCTGACAAATAATGCTGACTCACAGTCTGTAAGTACGCTTTCATATTTAAAGGATTTGCCACTGATGATTCAAACGCGAGTTTTGAACAGTGTAGAGTAGCACTTGTTGTTTGTCGTTTCTCCGATCACAAATGCAGACATGGTTTAATGTTTACGCGGCGTGATGCAACGCGTAAAAAGACAGTATAAGTCATTATAATCAGTAGTTATGTCCCCACTGGATGCAACAAATGCCTCGTTTATAATGGGTTTTATTGGTTTTGTCTCGTCGCTCCGGGACACAGCATCACATTACGGTAAGGGGCGTAACATTTCCGTCACACGCTTGAGGTATTCGGGCAATCACAATGCACTGGATAGCTGGCCAATCACAACACACCTTGCTTTTCAGAACGATGGCGGGGCATAGAGGAGAAAAAATAATGTACAATATGTGGAAAATAATGTTTTTTTTTTTTTTTCCTTAAACAGCATAAACACATTTCATTACACCAAATAATGTTATTTTTTAGCAACGTCATATGACCCCTTTAAGTGAAGTGGGAAATAGTATACATCCCTATATATTATTAATAGTATATTAATAGTATACATTTTCTATTTATATAGATGGAGTGACTGAAGAAATCTGATTTCATTTCCCAATTAACATGAAAAACTTGCTGTGAACAACGTTTTCCAATTAGACGCTAAACTGAATAATAAACACACAGCTTTTTTTTTTAGAAATGCCACATTAGGAAATATTGACTCATTCTGAATAACTTTCCTGGTTGAGAAACCTCAAGCTTGTAACAAAAAAGTTTAAAAGATTAACAAAAATGCTACACATGATGTCAGTTTCTGCATCGCCCATTGTAGCAACCATGAATGACAATTCTACAGCATCAACTCTATCAAACGAGTTCTAACCTCATCAATAAGCTTGCGTGCGTTAGCAGTGGTGTAGTCTCCAGCGAAAAAGACAAACAGGCAAGACTCTTCGCTCTCGGTACGGCGTCCTCCTTTGGTCATGGGCACTATGCTCCGACTTGCTTCAGTAGAGATTCTCACAGACTTGAATTCTGACTCAGGATCTGGTAGAGGCATATACTCCAGGACAACAGCATCTTCTGGTAGGAGACTCCAATTGGTCTCTCCAGAGACAGGTGTGAAGTCATGAATATTGCTCCAGTTGTTGTTAAAGATGCTGAGGCCTGCATCTTTAAAGTGGAAAGCCAGCTCGGGGTAGTAGTACTGGTAGCAGCCAAACTTCATGCCTGTTGAAGACTCAATTTGTGTAACTGTAGCATATGATTATACTTGAAAAAAAAAAAAAAAAAGTGCAAACATGTTAATAAATGGAGAACTTATAAAACCATTATCAGCCATCTTTGCTCTCTGGTTCCCCTCACACTCTTGTAACAGGACGTTCCCTCCCTCAAAATGTGTGTTTATTAGTTAGAGACATTATGCTTTTGTCTAAAAAAAAAAAAAAAAAGCATTTTGTTTGTGGTTAAAATAATTTTAAAAAAACCCCTAAGAATTAAACATACTATATGAGCCATAAAAGCCTGATGTATCAAATACGATACAAAACATAAAACACATCTGCAACCTTTTTGAGATTTTCCTTGTAAATTTTATATAGTTCAATAAACTAAATTTAAAATAAAAAAAACATCTATTATTTTATATGTCAAGGTTACACTTCAACAGCAAACTCATTCTGCATTGTTTGAGACAAATGATACATCAAATCATGCAGCAAATAAATTTTCATCAGGCAGAAGATAAAACACAAAATGGAAACAACAACATAGGTTTAAACTGAAGGAGGCACCTGTTCTGTATCTGGGGAAAGACCATTACAGAAATCAAGAGCTCTTTTGACTTGGGCCAGTATGTAACCACCTAACAACCACTTAAAACACCCTAACAATCACAGAGCAACACCCTGGCAACACTTACAAAAAAAGAACTCATGAGTTTACAGAATTTAAGTAATGTGATGAAATGGAAGTAGCAACAAATCGTTTCTACTGTATTGTGACATATATCAGAGAGTAGAGGATTATAGAAAACATGTAAGGCGGGGGCTTGTTCTATGCATCGGCTGTCATTCTAATAAAATCTATATCATGTATTTAGAAAACATATAATGCGAATTTTTAATTCAAGCCAAAATGTAACCACAGACCCAAAACAGCTATAGAAAACCCCCCAAGGAACCCATTGTTTTAAAATACTAATTCCCAGTCAGGTTTTAGGACTAAAAACTGAACAGAGCTATCAAGTTTGAGTAGTTTTATATAAATACTATATGTGACCCAAGTTTTGATATATTTATGGTTGGAAATTGACAAAATATCTTCATGGAGCATGATCTTTACTTAATATCATAATGATTTTTGGCATAAAAGAAAAATGGATCATTTCGACCCATGCAATGTATTGTTGGCTATTGCTCTAAATATACCCGTGCTACTTATGACTGGTTTTGTGGTCCAGGGTCACATATAAAAATATTTTTCAATTGTATCTTGTGGGGCCAATTGGAAGTTTCATGAGGCCCTCTAGTGGGCCTTGACCCCTGCCGGTTGAGAACTACTAGTCTAATCTATTAGATTTCTGCCTTTGACAGACCATAAGAGAAAACTCAAACTGACAAACTGCTGGACAGTGACTTGTCTCGTGAATTCACTGCCTTTCAATCTGCACTTGAAAGCATCGACCAGGGCAATATTTAAACATAAAAGATTTAAACTTCCGGACACTTAGCTTTGTAATGGGTTCGCGGTCGGAGGGGCAGACAGACACTCCCACCCTTATTACTCAGTCTCTTCCTCCCTCTGATACAGTGTCATGCATGTTGATGGCGACACCACTGATGTGCTAATCCTTAACAGCGTTATCTGGACAAGCGCCAGGCAAACAAGTTACCTGCCCTGACTTTAAGCCGATAATAGGCTCGGTCTGTACTTTACTATAGCATTTGAAAACCTATAACCGCCCGCCGAGAGACACTCGTATCGATGGTCAGTCGAAGGCAACAGAAGAAAACGCTCAGAAACACTACACAAGAGGGGCCAAACCCATCGCTGGCGTGTTGTGAGCTGCATAAAATGGGCTTAACAATGCGAATTGAGCTAACGCACATACATAACAATAGCTATTTCTGACGGACTCTGGTTGGAGTTCATTCAGTGTCATTCCTAAAGCAATTATGCAACATAATAAACTGTGTAGTACAGCCTAGAGCACAAAAACGGGTTATAATGCAGCGTCGTACCTTTTCTCGTTTGTCCCAGCTGTATTGCTTGGGAGCCTCCTGGTTGCTGTCGCTGCCCAGCGCAGTGTTGTTGGTTTCTGGGAGGTCATTGCCCGTAGCGCTCCCGTCCCCATCGGTCAAAGCAGAGTCTTTTTTAGGAGATTTTCTCCTCGATTTTTTGGAGAAGAAGCACCCCATTTATGGACGATATGTCAGCGCGCCCCTCCTGTTGTAAATGCAACGCGTTTCTGAAATAGTCTCGATCAGCCGCAGTAGCGCTGCTTCTCTCTCGCCCTCCCCAGAAAGTAATCAAGAACACGCAACCTGTGCGCTTCCCGTTTCCTTGACCCTCGAGTCAGCCAATCACTACAGCGCACCGCGTTACTAGGAAACAGCGAATCAAAGCTGAGCAGTATCTACGAAGTCTATCGAAGTAGGAGGTGGGGGATGATGTTACTAATATTTGACCCCTGCCATATGCAAATAAAGCATTTTGTTTGTGCGTTGTGTAAACTCATCTTGGCATGTGAATAATTAATATGAATTATAATATTTGTGCACTCGGATTACACTGTTAGATGTTTGTAATTTTGTATATAGCACATAGCCTATACCAGTGGCGGGCCGTGCATTTTACACCTAGGCCTTCAGTGGCGTCCTACATTAATTAATCCATCTCTTCATACCATCATAATGATGCCACGGCTATAGAAACCATAAATATTACACAGTAATTCGGGGCCGAAACGGTCTTTTGTTTTTGTAGTAAAAATACAATATAATTATGATTTGATGCTTTTTTTTTATCATTTACATTTCTAAAACATACCTTAAATACAACCCAGCAGAGGCAGACCAGCGGCCGGAGGAAAGGCCCGGTTAATACAGCTCCACTCGGGAAACTGAGATATTCTTACGGAAACTTAAACCTGGCTTTATATCGCGCAAATAACATCAGCATACAACGCATCAAGCGATAAAAGAGTCAAAAATGAAAATTAAGCTACCATACTCTAGTGGTTTTTCATCTTCACGAGTCTTTCACAGAGCCGATGCCGGGGAGGTGTGTGCTTGTTTTTCACAGTCATTTAGAACTACTGTTTTTAGATTTACTAAATATAGTAGGCAAATATTTTTTTCAAAATGCACAGAAAATCTAAACCTGAGGAACAGTAATAAAAGTTTTACTAAGATGATTTACAGTGATGCTGTTTGCTAGCTAGTACGCTGACCATCCAATCAAAGGACGAGAAAATGCTGACGTTATCGTTAGCCAGCTAGATGGCCCTGGAGCTGCCAACTCGAAATCTGACTGGTTAAAGCAACGGGTTCATTGCCATTGATTTAAGCTAACAGACGCCTGCACTGTGTATTCTGAAGGCCTTAAAGGGATAGTTCACCCAAAAATGAAAATTTGATGTTTATCTGCTTACCCCCAGGGCATCCAAGATGTAGGTGACGTTGTTTCTTCAGTAGAACACATTTGATGATTTTTAAGTCCAACCGTTGGAGTCTATCAGACGTATAATGCATGGCAATGGTAACAAAGTCTATGAGTGTAAAAAAACATGCACAGGCAAATCCAAATTAAACCCTGCGGCCAAATGTGTTCTACTGAAGAAACAAAGTCACCTACATCTTGGATGCCCTGGGGGTAAGCAGATAAACATCAAATTTTCATTTTTGGGTGAACTATCCCTTTAAGGCAGATTTATTTGACCCTGGCAACACGATTGCTGAAATATGATTGGATAAAAGCTCCAATATAAACATGCAGTGCAACCGAGAGAAAAGCTATGAACTGAAGAGAATAGACTATTGGAAATAATTTAATGTACACTCATGGAAAAATATATTAAACTAAATCAGTGATTCTGATAGTGTTTAGGCCAGCAGAGAAGGCTTTGCTGGCCCTGACGGCCCACCACTGGCCTATACATATGTGTGGATCATCATGTCCCATTATTGGTGTAAGATGACCTTCTTTTGTGTAAGATGTTTTGCTCTTACTGGTGACCTTTTAAAAAATGCAATAAATAAATAAATAAAAAATGAAAGGCAAATACAACTTATCACTTCATGACAACCTGTTCATCAAATGTGTCAGTTTGTGCTTCTAAATAAATAACAATCAAGTACATACATTCTAAACATTTTTAGGTATTGCCACTGATTTATTTATTTTTAAGAAAGACAAGTAACATTGCAGCTCACTGAGTGAATTGTACAGAAATGCAGTAAGGCCAAATGTTTTTGTGTGTGTGTGTTTTATATAATTTTCATTGAGGAATTGTACGTTACATAATTAGCACTCATTTTAAACAAATAATGTTACTTGGAAAATGTATGTGGAAGAAGTACAGATTTCAGTTTCTCGCTTATGTGTTGTGTTTGCCAAGAAAACTAAGTTAAAAGCTTTTATGTAAACCAATCAACTTTTTTTTTTCACAGATTTTTTTTTTTTTCCTGTGAAATGTGGTTTGACAGAGCAAAATTGCAATCTCACTTAAAAGATAAACAAAGTATTTTGGGCTTTATGGTGTGTGACTCATCACTTACATATAAATTTGTATTCAATATAGGCCTACATGTGACATACACAGCAAACACATTAGTATTGCACTTGGCTGTTCAACTGTTGTGTAAGCAACATACATAAAATGTTCTTTGGTAAACTGCATGCATGAACTCATCTGTGTGATGGAACATGTCACCTGAAAACAAATGATAATTAAATAAATAGCATTGATAATAAATAATCAGACTTTCAGGAAGCACAGAAAGAAAGCTTTCAGAACTGATTATCAAAAAGTTGCTGTCTAAAGCACTGTGACAAAATACTGGAAACTTTTTCTAAACTGACCTACTTGCAAATTCTTGTGTAAAAAGTGTAAACGATATTTGAATCTCAAATGTGTGATTATTTTGGGTAATATAGTCATTACTATACTACAAATATAGTTTTGTTCTCAGAACCAGAAAATGATGACTTTCCATTTCTCATATAGCAAAGGAAGTGTGATATACGCAGAAGAGCAAAAAGGAAATCTTAAATTCCTGTTTGTTTCCATCAACGTGACAGCTAGACATTTGGAGGTCAGTAAAACTGTTTCACGTTCTTCAAAACAGCTACATTTTAGTCTAACACTTTGCTTAAAATTTTAACACATCAAATATCTATATCACCTCTTTAAATGGCCTGTTCAAAAACATTAGCCCACAAAACAAGCACATATTTGTGACCCTGGACCACAAAACCAGTCATAAGTAGCATAGGTATATTTGTAGCAATAGCCAACAATACATTTTGTATGGGTCAAAATTATCGATTTTTCTTTTATGCTAAAAATCATTAGTATATTAAGTAAAGATAATTTTCCATGAAGATATTTTGTACATTTCCTATGTAAATATATAAAAACTTAATGTTTGATTAGTAATGCATTGCTAAGAACTTCATTTGGACAACCAAAAAGACAATTTTCTGAATATTTAGATTTTTTGCACCCTCAGATTCCAGATATTCAAATAGTTGTATCTCAGCCAAATATTGTCATATTCTAACAAACCATACATCAATGGAAAGCTTATAAAATTAAAAAAATTTGTGGTCCAGGGTGGTCCAGGGTTACATTTATTTAATTTAAGGGTCAATAACTACAAACCTTACCAGACTATAACACATAGACTATACTGGGTGACAGCTTATAACTTTTGACCTCCTAGGGTATAAAATAAAAAAAATTTAGGCTAAAGGGGTCATATGACGTTGCTAAAAAGAACATTATTTTGTGTATTTGGTGTAATGAAATGTGTTTATGCGGTTTAAGGTTAAAAAAACACATTATTTTCCACATACTGTACATTATTGTTTCTCCTCTATGCCCCGCCATTCTGAAACGCCTCGATTTTTACAAAGCTCATCGGTCTGAAAAGCGAGGTGTGCTCTGATTGGCCAGCTATCCAGTGGATTGTGCCAAATACCTCAAGCGTGTGACGGAAATGTTACGCCCCTTACCATACTGTGATGCCGTCTCCCGGCACAACCGGACAAAACCAATAAACCCATTACAAACGAGGCATTTGTTGCATCCAGTGGGGACATAATTATGGATTATAATGACTTATACTGTCTTTTTGTTGCATCGTGCCACATAAACATAAAACCATGTCTGCATTTGTGATCGGAGAAATGACAAACAACAAGCGCTACTCTACACTGCTCAAAACTCGCGTTTGAATCATCAGTGGCAAATCCTTTAAATATGAAAAACGTACTTACAGACTGTCTAGTCTACTAGGATCAGGAAACAGTCCTCCATAAAATGTGCTGCACACATCTGAATATTTGGGTTGAAGTGTTCTGGAACAGTACTGTAAATACAGCTTAACCACTGATTTCTAGTTCTGTCCTTCCAAAAGAGCTGGCGGCTTGAGTGAGCGGAGGCCGGTGGCTAGAGTGAGTGGAGGCCGGCAGGCTTGCAGCAACCACATGTGACGACCCCGGGCTGGACTCCACTTCGTCCACAGTGAAAGCCGATCCGGCAATCCACAGCGCAAAGTTGAGGTATTTCCTCAGCAACCAGCACAGATCAGCTCTAGGCATGACAAAGTGGATATAGTCCTCTTTTGGAAGGCCAAGCAAAGTAGTTTCGCTTTCACAACGAAACACACGCCAACAACAATACTACAGCGAGAATCAAAGTTACACCTTCTTTCTTTGCGTGAACATTTGGGCGGTGTTATGCAACTCTTCCCACATCGTGATGTAGATATGTGGGGGCGTGTAAGAACGAGCCGTTTTAGGTAGGCGTGGTTAACTCTGAACTTTTATAAAGAATATCTCTTTGGATTTCAGACTTTAGTCTTTGCAACTTTACAGATCATCTTTATGCAAGAGCTTGTAACACTCCAAAGAGAACTTTAGGAAAAATGTAAATCGCATCATATGACCCCTTTAAGCACCTCCACTGCTCATTTGTGGAATAAAAAAACCCCCACTTCATTCAAGAGGTTCAAGCCCTGTTTTGTATGACATTCATGGAATGTACTAGTAGAGTAAGAGTGGAGTATTGGTGTGCGTGTCTCTTTAAGAGCTTGAGCCGCGGTCTCCTCTGATACCTCTCATTATTGCTCTGACTCTACCTGACGCAGCTGAAGCAGTGAGTGAGGAAACCCGCCACCAGCATCCTGCACCATGGAGGCGGCCACAGCACCAAAGCCATGGACATTACATGCATTAGGAGGACACTGCTCACTGTTTCCTATTTTAATGTTCATTTTAAGCCAATGTTGTCAGATAAGAGCAGATGACGGCGGCATGGAGGAACTTGCCACGGAGAAAGAGGCAGAGGAAAGTCACAGGCAGGACAGCGTGAATTTACTTACATTCATTTTGCTTTTGACACTCACTATCCTCACAATATGGCTCTTCAAACACAGAAGAGTGCGCTTCCTGCACGAAACAGGACTGGCTATGATATACGGTAAAAACGGAGTATTTTTAACATTGCGAAATGCGTTCGGCATCGTCTGTGTCTCAAAACCGAATGAACCGCCGAGCTCGACAGCAGCATTTTTGGCCCATAATACCGAGTCATCAGAGCTGAATCATTTTTAGTCGCGTGTTTTTGCGCATTTTCTGTCTAGATAGGCAGCTCATTAGGTATTGAGACACAGCCATCATGTAAACCCTTAGCTAAGCCTCATATGAATGAGACTGTGTAGCCGCTATGGCTTGAACGAGTGCTAAGACAAACCTTGTGCATCGAATGTCATTGTATTTCAGTGTGGTTTTTAAATGGCTGTGGAATAGATTGATGTTCTTGAATGCACCATAATAGCTGACACGTGTATTAGCCCATATGCAACCCACAGTTTTGATATTGCATAATCTCTTATGCGTGTATGCAATTTTACTCCATAACTCAGCCAATCGTGCACTCAGACGCTGGGGTTTCGTTTCTTATTTTGTTTCTGTTATTCCTCCTGTTGAGTTCCTCATACTAGCTTTGAATAATGTGACAGCTTTTGTATTTCAGGTTGGATCAGTCTACAGTAACATGATGTTATGTTGTCTTCTGTGTCAAGAGTCATTCTCACACCGTTTATAAGCTCTAAACAATACTTAACCAAAAAATTGCCATTTACTCTTCCTCATGTTGCTTCAAACCTTTTTTTTCTGCAGTGGAATACAACATTTTGAAGAATTATACTGGTTGCTTTTTAATGCAGTTGCAATTAATGGCAACTTTTAAACTTAAAAACAAAACAAAAAAAAAGCCCACTAAAGCATCAAAAATGTTGAATTGTACACTATTGTCCAGGTCTTTTGAAGCCATGTTACAGTTTGGTTTGAAATTTAAGTCATCATTCATTGAAAACATTGACATCGGCCTTAGTGTTCATGAGAGAAAGAGTGATCACTGCACTTTTGAATCTGAATCATAAATTGCTCTTTTGAATCTTGAGTTGGTTTATCCAGTACACAAAATCTAGTTGCACTGTTCAACAGATTGTTGGAAGGAAATGCTATCATTGCATCACTTATGACAATTATTTTTATGATCATTTTATGGCATTCTTTTTGAAGCTTTTACACCTCACTCCCCATTCATTGTAATTGCATGGACAAAAGGAGGAGTGCATTCATCAAAATGTCGTCTTTTGTGTTACACTGTTATCATATGGGTTTGGAATAATATGAGGGTGATTAAATGATGACACAATGTTATTTTTTGATGTACTAATTCATTAAGTGTGAAAAATCAAAGGCCTTCACCAAGGTCAGCAAACGTCTGTCTTCACATGTGTCATGTCTTCAGTGAAAATGAGAGCTCTATCATCAGTGGTTGCTCTGAAGTTCAAAAGCATTACTTGGACACGAGGAAAAGACTGGGCTGAAACAAGCTAGCTGCTACTAGCACTATTTGGTTTCACACCGTTTCAGTAAATATTGATTAGATTAATATGACAGGCATTACCATGTTCATGCATCTAAACTGATTTTTTTGTGACTGACTAAGCACATACCTGTCAGACATTGAGCAGCAGGTATGGTTTAAAATGCATGGCTTAAAATGCAATGTTAGTGAAGAGTCACATTCAGCATGTTTACTTTTGCTATTAAATAACAGCATTTACAACAGTTCACCAAAAGTCTTGGGGACTTCCAATTAAATTTGCAGTATTCTCACTGTGGAATTAACAATAGGGGATTTTATACTAAATACAGTAGACAGTGGTTGGTGCTCTGTGTGAAGTTTAAACAGAGGTACATACATACATAACAGTTTGGAGTCAGTATGATTATTTTTAAAGAAATTAAAAGGGTCATTCTTTTTAGCAGCATCATATGACCCCTTTAATACTTTTATTCAGCAGGGACACATTAAATTGATAATATGACAGTGGAGACATTTGAAACGTTACAAACGACTTTTATTTTAAATGAATGCTGCTCGTTTTTCGAACTTTGTTCAAAAAAGAATCATAAAACATTTTCCTCAAAAATATGAAACTGCACACCTGTTTTCAACATTGCTAATAAAAAGAAATGTTTCTTGAGAACCAAATCAGCATATTCAAATTATTTCTGAAGGATCATGTGACACTGAAGACTGGCAGCTGACAATTCAGCGTTGTCATCACAGGAATAAATTACATTTAAAGGATATTAAAATAGAATTAAAACAAAATTGTAATAATACTTAATAGTATTACTAGCTTTACTGTATTTTTCATCTAATAAATGCAGTCTTGGGAGCATAAGACCCCTTTAATTCAAAAGCATTAAAAAAAATCTTACCAGGCAGACCCAAAAAAAATTAAATATTTGCTGCTCCCCTCATTTCAAATAGTACATGTATGTCAAGGCTATTCTGTTTCTACTAGTTTTTTTTACTTTTTCACGTTATTTCTACTTTTGACAGCCTGGTTTGTACTGAAACTTGATTTCAAACTGGTCTCTTTCCACACACTCAAAATGGATCTTTTATATTCCTATCCATCAAACGCTCCATCAGAGCTTTCTCTTGTGTGTAATTAGCTTTGATAGTATGCACTAGCTTCCTTCCTATTAATCTGCCCCATTCTACTCCTTACACGTTGTTTTTTAGGATGAATTGCACTCAATCACAAAGCAGATTTGACTTCAGCTGTTGCATTGAACCAGTTTGGATCAAAATAGTATTTTTTCCTTGTTGAATCAAGGTTGGCATGCTTTGGCTCTCAGAACAGAGACACCTGCTCACTGGCTGGACAGATGGTAACGTTACAGTTGTGTCTACTTGGGTGTGTTTGGTTTTCGTTCTATCTGTGTTTCCTACTGTGTATTACAGCATTCGGGCCAGGCTGTCAAGGGCTTTCTGCTCTCCTATCCCTCCTGGAGAACAAGAGAAGCTCCATGTAATGTGTTGTAATTGTATTTTGGTTTGGTGTACTGTGACATATGCAAGAGTGCAGGGGAAGACAAACACTAAGCTGGATTCTGATTGGACGGGAGATGTCCGAGGTCACTCATTGTCTTTGCCGTGTTCTAAATGTGATGCTAACCGAATTACTAATGCCCTGCACACGCTCATTTAAGCTTTGCTGCACACTGCATGTGTGTATCGTTTTGTCCTTCAGTTGTATACTCACTCTTCCATATGTTGAGTTTAGTGCTGGAAGTCGTACTCTGGCTTGTCTACATGCTGATGGCCACTGTAGCTTTCGGGATTTGTGTGTTGTTACATTGGCGTACATACACACACACACACACAGAGTCTGGTCAGCTATCCTTGTAAGGACTCTCCATAGGCGTAATGGTTTTTATACTGTACAAATTGTATTTTCTATCGCCCTACACCAACCCTACACTTAAACCTACCCCTCACAGGAAACTTTCTGCATTTTTACTTTCTCAAAAAACTCATTCTGTATGATTTATAAGCTTTTGTACCCATGGGGACTTCAATTTAGCTCCCCACCGTGACACGAGTCTGTGTGTATTCAGGTTTAAGTCCCCACCAGGATATATAAACCTGTACACACACACGCTGTATTACCCATCCCCTATGTGCATTCAGACCTCTCCCCTCTAATTCAGTTTCACTGCAGACATTAGGCTTGCTGTTACACTAAAATAGGAGATGCTTTTCTTAAAAAAAACATGATTAATAGAACATCTTATACCATTTTTAATTTCTTCTCCTTCCAGTCACCTGAGTTGTGAATGCCATGTGACTTATGACTCTGAACTACAAGAAAATGATGTCATGATGTGTATATTATTATTATTATTATTATTTTCAGAATCAGGTGCAGTTTTAACCAAAACATTGTTTTGTACTTTTGACAAAATATACAAGAATAAGGACGAATGACGTTTGATCAGAATTTCTCGTGGTCCACATGGGTTTGCACCGGACATGTGAACTCTTCCTCTCATAAGTGCGTACAGCCAAATAAAACATTCAGGCAACAGGAAGTGGTGCAATTCTAAAAGTAGTGTGAAACATTTAGTTAGAAAAATTCTTTAGCTTCATGAAAAAAAAATCTGAATATAGTTAATTTGTTAACTGGTTAGCAGCATTTAAAAAATATTCTGGACCAAATAAAAGGGATTTTGTTCCTGTTCCTTATATTGTTCAGCAAAATAATGTTTTTAGTATCCTTGAACTGATTGAGGGGCAGTTATAGTGTCTACCAGCAGGGATAACTGCTAAGCTAACTGGTTCATGCTAACCTCAATCATTGACTCCCTGGATCCTGGCTCTGGATTGTGAATCCGTTTACATACAGAGTGTGTTTTCTAAGATGTCTGGATTACAGATTTGGGCACAGAATTGATTGTGTATCCTTGGATGTTAATTCATTTAAATTGTGGCCAATTTAATTTAGCTTTGTATCATATTTTATGTTCCTTTTAGCTGAAACTGACGTTAAGACTTTTGCTGCCTGTGAACAAAGCCAAGTTATTAGCTTTACTTTTGAGTACCATAACATGCACTGTCAGAAAATGTGCAAAAATTGCATCTTTAGGGGTACTATATCTGGTAAAAACAAAAAATCTGCAGATTTCTGTTGAATGTACTCAAATAAAGTGAAATGTGTTAAATGTGCTGCTGTCCACATACTCCCAGAATAAATGTGCAAAAACTTTATCTTTAGGGTATGTATTTGACTCCACAGAAATCTGCAGATTTTCCCTATGAAATCAGTACTGTCAAGACCTAGCATTGGTTTAAAGTAGTGTAATTTGCCTGATTTTAGCAGGAGGTTGTGCGATTATGGTGTTTTTTTTGCCTCCGTTCTTGTTTCACAGCCCATGCTGTGTGTGCTGTTGACTTCCTCTGGCACTTCATTAGTATGGAAATACCCTCCAACAGATTTGTCACAGCAGGCTCTCATCTCTACTCCCTGTCATCACACAGAACCCAATCTGCTTATACTGTGTTTTTAAGGAAAGAAGTGTAATTTCTGTGCCACGGCAAAAATAGATTGTTTCCAAACAAGTTTCCTTTTTCACAAACTAAGTGTATGTATTGAATTTGTATCTGAGTGGTTGATCTTCTGTGTGTCGAACAGGTTTGTTGGTGGGTGTTATTTTGCGATATGGCATCCCCTCCACCAGTTACCATAATAAAACTCCTCCGAGTTGCACCCTGCAGGAGGGTCCTCTCAGCACGGTGCTCCTCAACGTTAGCGGAAAGTTCTTTGAGTACACACTCAAGGGGGAGATCAACCTTAAAGAAATCCACAGTGTGGAGCAGAATGACATGTTGCGCAAGGTATGTCAGCAACAGCATACATACACACATAAAAACGGTTCTGATAATCCTGCAGCAGAGGTTTGTCAGAGGAAGACATTTTATTTTGAGCTTTAATTTCTGTCACCTGTGCAGCAGGGTTGTTGTTATCTAAAACTAAATCTAATAAAATTGTTTGTTAGTTGAAATAAAATAAAATATTAATATTAAATTTAAACACAAACTAAAAACTAAACTGGAATGAAAATTAAGGAAAGCTAAATAAAAAAATACACACAAACAGCATATAAAAAGGACTCAAAAAATTAAAATATAAAAATGAAAGTCAAATATATCAAAGTATCAATAATCACTATAATAGTATATAAATAATATTAACATTGTTGTGCAGATGTTTTAGACTTTGCATTCCAAGGCAGTAGCAAGATCCAGTCTTTAAGACTAAGAATAGTTGTTTAAGAATTTTTTTGTCCTTATCCATTAGCTTAAAGGGATAGTTCACCCAAAATGACAAATTCTATCATCATTTACTCACCTTCAAGTTGTTCCAAACCTGTAAGAGCTTCTTTCTTCTGTTGAACACAAAATATCTTTTTTTTTTTTTAAGAATGTGGGTAACTAAACAGTTTCTGGTCCCCAGTGACTTCCATAGTATTTTTTCTATACTATGGAAGTCAGTAGGAGCCAAAATATTTTGGTTACATTTGGTCACATTCTTCCAAATATCCTCTTTAGGTTTAACACCATAAAGAAACTCAGAAGTTACAAATTATGAAATTAAATGATAGATATCCTCTGCTACTGATCTGAACAGCAAACAGACAGCAAAGATAAAAACTGTAAATTAGTCATTAGAAAGCCTATCATTATGACACCTCAACATCCTCCTAATTTTTGTATATACCCAAAAATACAAGCCCCAGTAATGTCTCACCACAACTTCCCTTTTCAATAGATTACAACTTCCCTTTTCAATGTTGAATACATCAACAAATAATTAGCAATTGCAATTTTAAACAATTCATAAAGTCTTTAACCAGATTAATAACATTTTGTTTATTTTAAAAGTCTATTACAAGCAATTGTTTGTAACAATTAAATATATTTCTTCCAGTTGACCTTTGACCCAGAGGTGTTCTTCAACATTCTGCTACCTCCCATCATATTCCACGCTGGATACAGCCTCAAAAAGGTATGTGTTTTATTGTGAACTGGGATTTACCTTTACTCGTTTTCTTTCGTTTTATAATTAGCAATTGCAATTTTAAACAATTCATAAAGTCTTTAACCAGATTAATAACATTTTGTTTATTTTAAAAGTCTATTACAAGCAATTGTTTATAACAATTAAATATATTTCTTCCAGTTGACCTTTGACCCAGAGGTGTTCTTCAACATTCTGCTACCTCCCATCATATTCCACGCTGGATACAGCCTCAAAAAGGTATGTGTTTTATTGTGAACTGGGATTTACCTTTACTCGTTTTCTTTCGTTTGACTTGTTTAGTAGAGCGTTCATCCATAAAGGTGCTTCTTTACCACTTTACGTTATGAAATTTTGAGATATGATCTAGTCTAATGCAACCTGATCTCTGTTCTCTCATCGTTTTGCTTCAGCGGAAGGTTAGCCGTAGAAGAGAAGTGCGATGCAGACCAGATACTCATGATCAAGAGTGTCTTAACAGCTGGCACCTTTCAAACTGTGTTATAGTTAAGTTAATGTGTATTTAACATGGGAAGTCATATTGTGACCTTTGAGTATAATTTATAAAGCCAGGTTTGGTTTTAGTGTTTACTAGCATTATTGTTCCTCGTGACCTGTAATTCAGTGGCTTACAGTGTTACTTTGGGCTATTTATAGAAGAATTACAGTGCTTTTTGGCAGTAAACAGTATTGGCACAAACACATTGAAGTAGTGTACAGAGGCATTGCTTATTATTTTGCTTATTGTTTTTTTTTTACACTTACTTGAAATCTTTGAAGTCATAGTTCATCCAAAAAGAGATATTTTTGTTTTGTTGGCTGGGTATTTGACACCCAAGTACATGATAGTACAATGTATTGGACATGGTGTACTTCTATTCTTAATCCTTTTCATTTGTGTCAAATTAGCGTGTCAACTCTTTCCATGTAGTATGGGCTTTTATTCGAAGACATCACTGAAGTACTCTGCCATGTAGACTGCAATGCATAATTTCACCATTTGCACTGAACAGAATCTAATGTAACAGAATCTCCATACATTATCTACTCAATACCCTTTTTGGTTGATTTTACTGCAGTGTTAATCAGGTGGATATCATGTTTATCACTCTTGGATTCCAGATATTTCAGATTGTGCTGAGTGTGCAGGGAGGCCCTGAGGCAGTGAGAGGAATGGGTTTCTGCCAGCTGTGTGCGTGTTTGATACACAAGGCTACTTTGTTTCCTCTCTTTGTACCACATTAGACTTTTTTTGATAAACCTTAGAGAATGAAGGAAAAGTGTACTGCTCCGAGATTGTATACATTTTGGCAGTAATTCAAATTAAAATGTTCACAGCACCAAAATTTCACACCAAGCTTTCGTCTTGTATTGAACAGGCCTTAAAGAGAGAGTTCACTGAAAAAATAAAATTCTGTCATCATTTTCTCACTTTCAAGTTGTTCCAAAGACTTTCTTCTGTGGAGCATAAAAGAAGATATTTTGAGAAAAATATATATTTTTTAATTTTGTCCGTACATTGGAATACAGTGGTAACCAAAACTGTTTGGTTACCATTCAAACTATCTTGGGAAAACAGCATGAGGGTAAGTAGGCCTAAATGATGACATAATGGTAATTTTGGGCTAAACGGGTTTTTTTTTTTACACTTTAAAGCCACCACAAAATCTGCGCTCAGAGAAAACTCCCCTGAATTTCCAAGAATTGCAATTCTTTTCATAAAATTCGAATCAAAATATTTTTTGTTTTTGTTTTCTTCTGTCGATAGAAGTGTAATACTCTGTTCCACTTAACAGAATAGATTATTAAATACATTCTGCCAGTATGTATTTTTAAAAAATGACTTTTCCCCCCTTAAAATCAGCACAAAAATGTCAAAAAACCCCAGATCAGATCGATAAACACATTAGAATGAAGGTGAGAACATAGGCTAAAAAAAAAAAAAAAACTATCCGGGTTATGAACAACATGAAGATGAACGAAGGTCTTACAGGTTTGGAACGACATGAGGGTGAGTAATTGATGACATAATTTTCATTTTTGGGTGAATTAACCCTTTAAATGCAGCCTTTGCCGATATAGTATTTATTATATAAAAATACATACAACAGAGAATTAACTGTTTTCTCAGGACAAGGATATTTTTACACTTCTTTTTTTGTTTGTTTGACATGCTCTTCCTTGTTCCTCCAGAGACACTTCTTCAGAAACCTAGGATCCATCATAACTTATGCGTTCCTGGGCACGGCCATTTCCTGTTTTGTCGTTGGGTAAGTCACTAAGGTTCAAAATATTCCCACAGACCATGAAACATTTTACTTACAGACAGTGGATCAGCCATGACATGCCTCAGAAACTTTTTACAAATTTTACAGATGAAACAGAGCTATACTATGGAGTGACTACTTTTGATTACGATTTAAGTGATCTTACAAAAAAACACACAAAAAAATACAAAAGGTGGCCAGTTACAGCATGTAAATCTATACACTTTCTAACCTAAACTATTAAAAAAGTTATTTGTGTGCTAACCAGTGACATACAAGAGCCAGGTTCAGGCACGTAGTGGAATTTATGGCACCAGTAATCAGCCACCATCAGATTCATTTCTTCATTTGCTGTCATATGAGCTCCACCTTCACGCTTAGTACCTTGAGCACACATTTTGTCCGGCAATGCAAAAAAGCTTTTCAGTGTTAAATATCAGTGTGTCAGACATGTTTAAAAACTGGTTTAATATCAGCAGGTTCATTTGTCACATTACACAGGGAAAAGTCAACTTACATTGCATTGTGGGATACAATATTCTAGCAGTGTGCTTTGTTGTATACTCCACATTTTGGAAAATGTAGTTGGTTACCTGGTTGTTTTTATATATATATATATATGCAAGGAACATTTCAGTAACAAGCAAATAGTATGAATAGTATTGTAATGTGCCATTATAAACATAGCTTGCCTTTGAGTTGTGGTCTTACAAGCCTAGGTTTAAATTTTTTTTTTGTTTTGTTTAAGAAACCTCATGTATGGCGTGGTGAAACTGATGCAGGTTTTGGGTCAACTCACTGACAAGTTCTACTACACAGACTGCCTCTTCTTTGGTGCCATAATATCTGCCACGGATCCAGGTACTTCATCTCTCTCTTCCTCCATTTTTGTCTTTGTTCTCTTTTCAGGTCAAATAAACTTGCTGTTAAATGCTGAAATCTTAGCATCTTTTTTATGAACCGACTAGTAAGTTGTGCATTACCATTCAGGATTTCAATACGTTTTGTTGCTGATTTGTGTGTGTTATTTTTAGTCACAGTGCTTGCGATCTTTAATGAGCTCCATGCTGATGGTGATCTTTATGCACTGCTGTTTGGAGAGAGTGTCATGAACGATGCAGTCGCCATAGTCCTTTCATCGTAAGTCCCAATTTCAAACAGTATTACTTTCTTGTTCCCTTTCTGTTGCTTCAAAAAATGTTAAAATCACCATGTTTGGTCTGTGGCAGTTGGTGGGATTTCCCAGGCTGCCAGCACAAGAGGGGGTGCTGGGGACATTTTCACTGTAATGCTGAATAGTACAAATTAATAATGCTGCAACTCCAGTTGTGTTTCAGGAAGGCGCTCTGACTCCCCCCTTTGGACACAATGAGCTAAAGCTGATCGTTTCTGATTTTCTTTTTCGGGGCCACTTTCACAATTTGTCAGTGTAGGCAGATTATCACAGCAAAAGGGTGTTGTTTAGACTTTGGTTGGGGGGAAAAAAGCATGCATATAAAATAAATAATTTTAAAATAAAATAATGTGCATTTTCAGGCAATCTGTGTAATCAGATCAGCATAGTCAGTTCATTTAAAGATTTGGATTGTTTTGTTTTTGGCATGCAGGTCAATTGTGGCGTATCAGCCTTCAGGAGCCAACACACACACATTTGATGCCTCTGCCTTCTTCAAATCAGTGGGCATCTTCTTGGGCATCTTCAGTGGCTCTTTTGCTATGGGTGCAGTCACTGGAGTAGTCACTGCCCTCATATCCTTTTGCATGTTGTCATTAAATTAGTCTAAATATATTTAGGTTTATGCAAATAAGTTGTGTTGATGTCCTTTTGGCTTCATTGTGATGTTGATTCTTTTACCTATTTGCAAAATTAGTTACACTGTAGAATTATCCTTTAAACAGCGGCTGATTTCTGTCAAGAGAAAAGTACTTGGAGTAAGAATATATTCTTTTAAATATATTGCTACTATTTTAACAGAAGTCACAGTAAAAATATTTATAAGCTTACAAAAGAATTCTTTTGCAAATAAATGCTATTTTTTAGCCTTTCTATTCATCAAAGAATGCTGAAAAAACATATCACCGTTTCCACAAAAATGAGAAGCAGCGTAACTGTTTTCTTTCGTCTTTGATAACATTTATTGAGAACCAACGTATTAGAATGATTTCAGAAGGATCATGTGACACCTAATAACTGAAGAAATGGCTGCTGAAAATTTTGCTTTGTCATTCATTTAAAAATATATTAAAATAGAAAACAGTTATTTTAAATTTTAATACTTTTTCAAAATATTACTGTTTTACTATGTTTTTGGTCAAAACAAAGCAAGCTTTGATGAGTATAAGAGACACTTTTTTTTTGCCCCTCCAAAAGCATTTAAAAAAAACTTTTGAATGGTAGTGTATATCTTTATTGATTTGAATCTTTTTTTGATTAGCTAACTGATTATCCGATGTGTGGTTTAAATTCTTAACTTTATCCACGTGACAAAATTCACCAAGCTGCACTGTTTCCCTCTGCTGGAGACTGCTCTGTTCTTCCTCATGTCTTGGAGTACTTTTCTACTGGCTGAAGCTTGTGGATTCACAGGTGGGTGTTCGTGTAGGTTGGTAATGAAAGCATAGTGGTTAATCTGCTGGGTAACCCAGAGGTTAAACTATAATATAGAGTAATACGGAGCTGCAGCTGCTTCCCCTCTAGGAACAGCAAAACATTTCCTGCTATAGTTAAATATCAACTGGAATAATAGTATCATTTTCTGGTTTTAGAAAATCATCTGTTCAGGTTTAATGTGCTTTATTAGCAATAGCATGACAACAAATTTACATTCATGTTCATGCCATATCCTTTGCATACAAATATGCAAATACAATTCTGCAACCTAAAACTTCCTCCATGTTGCTGAATGCTGGCATTCTTGATGTGTAAATGTGTTCAGCCAATTGCACTTATGTCACCTCCAACCTGTACTGAAATTGTATCCCATCCCCCACTTGAAAGAAAAAAAAAAGGCACAAATGATGCTAATATCCGTTACTATTCCAGGTGTTGTCGCTGTGCTGTTTTGTGGAATCACACAGGCCCATTATACCTACAACAATCTGTCGGAGGAGTCAACTAAACGTACTAAACAGGTAAAATATTTTAGCCTTGTTTCGGGTAAAATATGTGAACATTTGGATTTTAGTTGCTTTCAGAGCAGCTGGTATAAAACCAGAATGATAATAACTTTGAAAACGTAAGGTATGTAGAAAGAAAGCAGCAAGGATGTTTTTTTGGGGGATGGGAGCCCTGCATATTCTACTTCAAAAGATGCTTTGATGCAGTGGGGCCACAAGTCGACGGATAGTGCTAAGTGAATTCCCAGCACCCCTGTGGTGTCGTCAGAGCAGTGCAATGTGATGAAGTGAGGTGGGGTGCCTACAGTAATTATGACAGCCCTGTGGCACTGGATTTCTCTCCAGGGAGCCATACTCGCTATTTTCAAAGCTCCTGTTTATGGAGAGAAGGGTTAAAATTTATAGACTTCAGAAGTTATAGTCACAGGAATTGAAGATATCGGCCTCAATTTAAGATCTAACATATGTTACAAAAGTCACTGTAGAGTATAGAGAGGTGGAGCATGCATTTCTAGTTGACTTAGGACTTGATTTTGAAAACGTGTCATTTGCTTTTGTGAATGTTGCTTTAGCTGTTTTGTTGACCAAATGTGCTGTTGTCAGGTGCATATGGCTTCATGTGTGGCATGTTTTTTTGCTGTTGCAGTTGTTTGAGGTGCTGCACTTCCTAGCAGAGAACTTCATCTTCTCATACATGGGCCTGGCGCTCTTCATTTGTTTATTTTAAACAGTTTACGTATTTTATCTATTATAAACATTTGTTTGTAACAATCACATTTTTTTTTTTATTGCAGTTGACCTTTGACCCAGAGGTGTTTTTCAACATTCTGCTACCTCCCATCATATTCCACGCCGGATACAGCCTCAAAAAGGTATGAGTGATATTGTGTGCTGGGCAGTTACCTTTACTCCGTTTTAGCTTTCATTTTGCTTGTTTAGTAGAGTGTTCATCCATGAAGGTGCTACTTTACCCCTTTACATTATGAAATTTTGAGATATGATCTAGTCTAATGCAACCTGATCTCTGTTCTCTCACTGTTTTGCTTCAGCGGAAGATTAGCCTAACTGCAAGAGAGAAGTACGGATACAGAACAGATACTTATGATCAAGAGTGTCTAAGAGCTGGTCAAAATTCACTTATATTACACTGGCACCTTTTAAATTGTGTTATAGTTAAGTTAATGTGTATTTAACATGGGAAGTCAGATTGTGACCTTTGTGTATTTTAAAAGCCAAGTATAATTTTAGTGTTTACTAGCATTATTGTTCCTCATGACCTGTAATTCAGTGGCTTGCAGAGTTTCTTTGGGCTATTTATAAAGAATTACAGAGCTTTTTGGTAGTAAACAGTTTCGGCACAAATACAGACACATTGAAGTAGTATTCAGAGGCATTGCTTATTATTCTGCTTATTGTTTTTTTTACACTTACTTGAAATCTTTGAAGTCATAGTTCATCCAAAAAGAGATATTTTTGTTTTGTTGGCCGAGTGTTTTACACCCAAGTACACAATAGTACAATGTATTGAACGCAGTGTACTTCTGTTCTTCATCCTTTTCATTTGTGTCAAATTAACTAAAGTGTCTACATTTTCCATGTAAAAAGGCCTCTTAGTCGCAGACATCCCTATAGCACTCTCTGCCATGTAAACTGCGATGCATAATTTCACCAGTTGCGTAGATCAGATTGTAATGTAACAGAATGCCCATACATTATCTGCTCAATTATTACCCCTTTTGGTTCATTTTACTGCAGTGTTTATCAGGTGGATATCATGTTGATCACTTCTGGATTCCAGATATTAATGTGAAGTTTCAGATTGTGCTAAGCAAGCAGGGAGGCCCTGAGGAAGTGAGAAGAATGGGTTTTTGCCAGCTGCGTGTGTTTGAGACACAAGGCTACGTTGTTTCCTCTCTTTGTACCACTTTTTTGATGAAAAAGAGAGTTGTATGAATTATGGCAGTAACTGCAATTAATATGTTTACTGCACCAAAATTTCACACCGAGCCTTCTTCTCAAACTGAGCAGGCCTTAAAGGGATAGTTCACAGAAAAAAAGGAAATTCTGTCATAATTTTCTCACTTTCAAGTTGTTCCAAACATGTATGACTGACTTCATTTTGTGGAGCATAAAAGAAGATATTCTGACAAATGTCTGTGTTTTTTTTTCTTCCATAAAATAAAAGTCAGTGGCAACCAAAACTGTTTGGTTACCATTTAAAAATTCTTCTTTTGTGTTCTGCAGAAGTCATAAAGGTTGGGAAACCGCATGAGGATGAGCAAATGATGACAAACTGTTCATTTTTGGCTTAACTATCCCTTCAAAACCACCAAAAAATCTGCGCCCACAGAAAACCCCTGAATTTCCCAGAATTAGTTTCTGTTTTTCATAAAATTCAACAGGTCCTTCATCCATTGCGTACTCATTTATTAATTTGACCAAATTTGATTGTTTTGTTGTCGATATGAGTGTAATACTATCAGTTCCACTTAACAGAATCTACAGTATTTAATCTCAATATATATATTTTAAATATGATTTTAACACAGTAATGTCAACACAGGCTAAAAGACTATCCGGGTTATTAACAACAACGTCTGAAGTATAGATGTCAACTAAAATGCATAACTTATGGGCGCTTGCATTAGATTTAAGACCATTTACTCTGAGGAACTCCTGTAAAAGTATTTGTTCTCCGATCCTCTTCTTTAACTTTTGTTAGTTTCATTCAGCTCACAGTACTACTGATCTTCTTTCTCTGTATGATAATGGTTTCATTTCTTGAATATATGCATAAATTATTTCATATTTGTGCTCCCAAGCTGTTTAACTAGCTTAGGTGACTGCAGTTTAGTTTGGGTAGTAACAAGGTTTCTTTCTGTAAATTGACTTTATTTCTATCTTAGTGATTACTATCAGTTCCCATCTACTGATTGCACAGCCACAGAAAGACCATAGTCAGAAAGAACCGTGCTGGAGTTTACAAAAACTGCAACAGAAGAAGCCCTTTTGACAGTGGAAGAGAGAGAGGTTTAACATCAAATTTATCTTGTAGTTGCTGCACTCTGAAGCAACAGAGTGACTCGGCATATTGTGACTGATACTCACACAGGAAAAAAAATCGCTGTCTTGCTCTGTAAAAAAGCAAGGACTGAAAAATAGAAGAGTAAGCATGACAGTGTGCCAGGCAAGTGTCAAGATGAAGACTAATAGTCTTCTGACATTGTACATCATGAGGAGGAAAGTAAAATTTATTTATTTATTCATTTATTCATTGTACCCTTAATTTCACTGTCTGTGGCTAATCTGCGTTCCACGAGTATTGGTTTTTGGGGTCAGTATGATTTATTTTTTTTATTAATTTTTATTATTTATAATTTTTTCCAAAGATATGTATACTTTTATTCAGTAATGGCACACTAAATTGACCAAAAGTCACTGTAAAGACATTTATTATGTTACAAAAACCCTATTTCATATAAATGCGGTTCTTTTGAACTTACTGTTCATCAAAAAATCCTGAAAAAAAAATTGTATTACGGTTTTAACAAGAATATTAATGAGCACAACTGTTTTCAACATTGACAAGAAATGTTTCTTGAGCACCAAATCAGCATATTAGAATGATTTCTGGAGGATCATGTGACGCTGAAGACTGGAGTGATGACTGCTGAAAATTCCGCTTCGCCATCACAGGAATATATCATATTTTTAAACTTTTAAACTGATTAATATTTCACAATATTACCTTTTTAACTATTTCTTTTAATAAAATAAACAGCCTTTGCTGATATAGTATTTATTATATAAAAATGGTACATACAACAGAGGTTGAACATGCTCTTAAAATGACATGGATTAACGTGCTCTTCCTTGTTCCTCCAGAGACACTTCTTCAGAAACCTAGGATCCATCATAACTTATGCGTTCCTGGGCACGGCCATTTCCTGTTTTGTCGTTGGGTAAGTCACTAAGGTTCAAAATATTCCCACAGACCATGAAATATTTTACTTACAGACAGTGGATCAGCCATGACATGCCTCAGAAACTTTTTACAAATTTTACAGATGAAACAGAGCTATACTATGGAGTGACTACTTTTGATTACGATTTAAGTGATCTTACAAAAAAACACACAAAAAAATACAAAAGGTGGCCAGTTACAGCATGTAAATCTATACACTTTCTAACCTAAACTATTAAAAAAGTTATTTGTGTGCTAACCAGTGACATACAAGAGCCAGGTTCAGGCACGTAGTGGAATTTATGGCACCAGTAATCAGCCACCATCAGATTCATTTCTTCATTTGCTGTCATATGAGCTCCACCTTCACGCTTAGTACCTTGAGCACACATTTTGTCCGGCAATGCAAAAAAGCTTTTCAGTGTTAAATATCAGTGTGTCAGACATGTTTAAAAACTGGTTTAATATCAGCAGGTTCATTTGTCACATTACACAGGGAAAAGTCAACTTACATTGCATTGTGGGATACAATATTCTAGCAGTGTGCTTTGTTGTATACTCCACATTTTGGAAAATGTAGTTGGTTACCTGGTTGTTTTTATATATATATATATGCAAGGAACATTTCAGTAACAAGCAAATAGTATGAATAGTATTGTAATGTGCCATTATAAACATAGCTTGCCTTTGAGTTGTGGTCTTACAAGCCTAGGTTTAAAAATTTTTTTTGTTTTGTTTAAGAAACCTCATGTATGGCGTGGTGAAACTGATGCAGGTTTTGGGTCAACTCACTGACAAGTTCTACTACACAGACTGCCTCTTCTTTGGTGCCATAATATCTGCCACGGATCCAGGTACTTCATCTCTCTCTTCCTCCATTTTTGTCTTTGTTCTCTTTTCAGGTCAAATAAACTTGCTGTTAAATGCTGAAATCTTAGCATCTTTTTTATGAACCGACTAGTAAGTTGTGCATTACCATTCAGGATTTCAATACGTTTTGTTGCTGATTTGTGTGTGTTATTTTTAGTCACAGTGCTTGCGATCTTTAATGAGCTCCATGCTGATGGTGATCTTTATGCACTGCTGTTTGGAGAGAGTGTCATGAACGATGCAGTCGCCATAGTCCTTTCATCGTAAGTCCCAATTTCAAACAGTATTACTTTCTTGTTCCCTTTCTGTTGCTTCAAAAAATGTTAAAATCACCATGTTTGGTCTGTGGCAGTTGGTGGGATTTCCCAGGCTGCCAGCACAAGAGGGGGTGCTGGGGACATTTTCACTGTAATGCTGAATAGTACAAATTAATAATGCTGCAACTCCAGTTGTGTTTCAGGAAGGCGCTCTGACTCCCCCCTTTGGACACAATGAGCTAAAGCTGATCGTTTCTGATTTTCTTTTTCGGGGCCACTTTCACAATTTGTCAGTGTAGGCAGATTATCACAGCAAAAGGGTGTTGTTTAGACTTTGGTTGGGGGGAAAAAAGCATGCATATAAAATAAATAATTTTAAAATAAAATAATGTGCATTTTCAGGCAATCTGTGTAATCAGATCAGCATAGTCAGTTCATTTAAAGATTTGGATTGTTTTGTTTTTGGCATGCAGGTCAATTGTGGCGTATCAGCCTTCAGGAGCCAACACACACACATTTGATGCCTCTGCCTTCTTCAAATCAGTGGGCATCTTCTTGGGCATCTTCAGTGGCTCTTTTGCTATGGGTGCAGTCACTGGAGTAGTCACTGCCCTCATATCCTTTTGCATGTTGTCATTAAATTAGTCTAAATATATTTAGGTTTATGCGAATAAGTTGTGTTGATGCCCTTTTGGCTTCATTGTGATGTTGAATCTTTGACCTATTTGTAAAATTAGTAACACTGTAGAATTATCCTCTAAACAGTGACTGATTTCTGTCAAGAGTACCTAGTAAATACAGTTTGTATATACATTGTTTTTATATTCATTCAAAGTCAGTAAGAATATAAATTTTTTATCAAAAGTCACAGTAAGTATTTTTAAACATACAAAAATCTAATTTCAAAATCTACAAAAAAATCTATAAAAATCTATTTCAAATAATTGCTGTTATTTGCCATTCTGTTTATCAAAAATGTTGAAAAAATGCATCACTATTTCCACAAAAATAGGAAGCAGCACAACTGTTTTCGATTTTGATAATATTTCTTGAGAACTAACTCAGCATATTTTAATTTCTGAAGAATCATGTGACACCCAATAACTAGAGAAATGGCTGTTGAAAATTCAGCTTTTTGTCATTCATTTTAAAATGTATTAAAATAGAAAACAGCTATTTTAAAATAATAATTTTTGACAATATTACTGTTACTGTCAAATAAACCAAGCCTTGATGAGTAAAAGAGACCCCCCCCCCCAAAAAAAAACTTTTGAGTGGTAGTGTACATCTTTAGTAATTTTAATCTTTGTTTGATTAGCTATCTGATTATTTAATCCGATATGTGGTTTAAATTCTTAACTTTATCCACGTGACAAAATTCACCAAGCTGCACTGTTTCCCTCTGCTGGAGACTGCTCTGTTCTTCCTCATGTCTTGGAGTACTTTTCTACTGGCTGAAGCTTGTGGATTCACAGGTGCATGTTTTGTTTGGGTTGGTAATGAAAGCATAGTGTATAATCTGCTGGGTCACCCAGAGGTCAAACTATAATATAATAAAGTATAATATGAAGCTGCAGCTGCTTCCCCTCTAGGAACAGCACAGCATTTTCTGCTATAGTTAAATATCAGCTGCAATAATAATTTCTGGTGTTTAGAAAATCATCTGTTCAGGTTTAATGTGCTTTATTAGCATGACAAAAATGTTACATTCATATTCATGCCAAATCCTTTGCATACAAATATGCAAATAAAATTCAAAAACTTCCTCCATATTGCTGTACCTGGGCAGGCCGTGTTGCTGAATGATAACATCTTTGATGTGTAAATGTGTTCATTCATTTGCACTTATCATCTGGTTGTTTCACTAGTCACCTCCAACCTGTACTGAAATTGTATCCCATGCCCCACTTGAAAGAAAAAAGGCACATGTGATGCTGATATCCTTTACTATTTTAGGTGTTGTCGCTGTGCTGTTTTGTGGAATCACACAGGCCCATTATACCTACAACAATCTCTCTGAGGAATCAACCAAACGCACTAAACAGGTAAAATATTTGAACTTTTTTCTTTTTTTCAAGTAAAATATATTAACCGTCGACTTTGTTGCTTTCAGAGCAGCTGGTATAAAATCAGAGGGAAATTAACTGTGACGAAGTTGAAAAAGTAAAGTATGTATAAAAGAGCAACAAGGATTTTTTTTTGGGGGGGGGAGACCTGAATATACGACTTCAAAAGATGCTTTGATGAAGGGGGGCCATAAGCCGAGGGATAGTGCTAAGTGAATTCCCAGCACCCCTGTGGTGTCGTCAGAGTAGTGCAATGTGTGATGAAGTGAAGTGGGGTGCATACAGTAATTACGACACCCCTGTGGCACTGGATTTCTCTCCAGGGGGCCGGACTCGCTATTATCAAAGCTCCCGTCTATAGAGAGAAGGGTTAGAAGTTATAGTCACAGGAATTGAAGATATTGGTCTCGGCTTTAGATCTATCATGCATTACAAAAGGCATTGTAGAGTATACAGAGGGGGAGCATGTATTTCTAGTACACTTAGGACTTGATTTTGAAAATGTGTCATTTTGCTTTTGTGAATGTTGTTTCAGCTGTTTTGTTGACCAAATGTGCTGATGTTAGATGCATACAGCTTCATGTGTGGCATGTTTCTTTGCTGTTGCAGTTGTTTGAGGTGCTGCACTTCCTAGCAGAGAACTTCATCTTCTCATACATGGGCCTGGCGCTCTTCACCTTTCAGAATCACGTCTTCAGCCCCATTTTCATATTTGGAGCCTTTGTATCCTTGTCTTTCAGTTTCACATTGAGGAGGTGGTAATGTGCATTAACCCCTAGCATTTACCTCGGTAAGAGTTTGACAGCATTTTAGAGAAGATGTACCTGCGAGCCAAATCATTTTAAATGCTCAAAAACATCTGGAAAAGTGAATGACTGTTTTATCATCTTGATTAATGTCATTTATTTGTTATATATAGGTTTTGAAGGAATAGCAAGTTACTATTGTTGTATTATTTTAGGTTCTGACACTGTCTTTCAGAAAGGACAAAAACACCATAAAAGTGATCAATTGGACTTGTGTGCAATATTACAAGCTTTGTGAAAACCATACAATACTGTACTTGTTTTTAAATGGCAAATTCTAATGTAATTTTACATAATTGTTCTTCAGCATTATCTGTGGGTTGAAACTTTTAACCATACATTTTTAAGCTGCATAATCTACAATAACGTTCAAACGTTTGAAGTCAGTAAGATTGTTTTAAATGTTTTTGACAGTCTCTTATGCTCAACAAGGCTGCTTTTATCTGATGAGAAATACAGTACAAACAGTAATATTGTGAAATATTATAACAATTTAAAATAACTGGTTTTTATTTGAATATATTTTGAAATGTATTCATATGACGACAGCTGAATGTCAGCAGCTATTACTCCAGTATTCAGTGTCAGATGATCCTCTAGAAATCATAGAAGCTCAAGGAACTCTCCCTATCATTATCAATGTTGAAAATGGCTGTGCTGCTTAATTTTTTTGTGGAAAATATTTTTTCTCAGGATTCATTGAATTGTAAGTTCAAAAGAACAGTGTTTAGGTCAAACTTTAGTAACAATGTAGAAGTCTTTACTGTCACTTGATTAAGTGTTAATGCATCCTATCAAATGTTAATGCAAACAGTTTTGAACAGTAGTGTAGGTCTAAATTTCTATTAACTTAATATGTCATATGTGAGAAGATTTTTCTTTAACATTTTGACTACTAGATAGCCATCTTTATCGGCCGGTCCTTGAACATCTATCCTTTGTCTTTCCTGATTAACCTGGGCCGAAGACACAAAATCAGAGGAAACTTTCAGCACATGATGATGTTTGCAGGTAAGGTGGTGAGCACACCTGGCTTACTTCCTCTTCTCTGATGCTTGCATGACATTAAAGATACAGAACCGTTCGATAAATACAATGACGTAGAATATAAATCGGTGCAATCAGTTTTGTAGCATCCTTTAGTGTCAGACTCTTTGATTTGAACTCTCTGTAGATTTCAGCACCCTGTTGAAGCTTATCGAGATCTAAATTAAGAGTGAAATGAGGCATCAGAATCAGAACATCTCTAAGAACAGCTCTTGATGTGGAGCAGCTCCCTCCAGACCAGCAACACCACCCAGCTAAAAGGGCAGCAGAGTGCAGAGCCCCTAAAACACAACTGATCGAGTGTGATGGCTGTTTGCCTGCTTAAGTGCACTTCCGTTCTATTTGTAGCAGGGCTGTCATTCTTACTAAAATATATTGTGACTGCTGTGTGTGTGTTTGTGCTCTGCAGGGCTGCGAGGGGCAATGGCATTCGCTCTGGCTATCCGTGACACCGCCACATACGCGCGGCAGATGATGTTCACCACGACCCTGCTCATTGTGTTCTTCACAGTTTGGGTGTTTGGAGGAGGCACCACACCAATGCTGTCCTGGCTACATATCAGGTCAGAGTTCAAGAGACCTGATCGGTGCCCTATCTGACCCATTTTTAAGAGTGAGAGGGATTTTGGAACATTTTTCATGCACAGGAAGTTCTAGAATTTAGGGTCAGATTTACTAACTGTCTTTTGGCATTATAATAGTACTGTCAGGATTTACTAAAGATTATATTGTGACTGCTGTGTGTGTGTTTGTGCTCTGCAGGGCTGCGAGGGGCAATGGCATTCGCTCTGGCTATCCGTGACACCGCCACATACGCGCGGCAGATGATGTTCACCACGACCCTGCTCATTGTGTTCTTCACAGTTTGGGTGTTTGGAGGAGGCACCACGCCAATGCTGTCCTGGCTACATATCAGGTCAGAGTTGCACAGGAAGTTCTAGAATTTAGGGTCAGATTTACTAACTGTCTTTTGGCATTATAATAGTACTGTCAGGATTTACTAAAGACGTGCAGTGAAGAATTAGCGCTAAAAAGTGGACTGTTATTTTGGCACCTGACCTTATTGAATATGCATTTGTTGGAGTTTCCCTTTCAGATGCAAAATTTATGAGAGGAGAGTATTAAAATGAATCACGCAACACGATATACTAACGTTTGCGCTCGTCAAATTACTGGTCTTTGCGCCATTATTTAACACTCAAAAAAAGCATGTCTTGAAGCAGGCAGTAATTTGCGCTGCTCTTGGTAGATTGAGCTGGTCATTGTGGAAATGATCTGGCTGCATCTGTGTTTTTTAATGTGCGCATTATCAGTAAATCACCCACAGAATTTTCCCCTCCCATCGGCACTTCTATGGAATTGCACTCTAACGTTAATTTGCCCTGTTTAGTAAATCTGGCCCTTTGTGTTTGCACACAGGATGGTAAAGCCTATGCTGTCCTTACAGAAAAAATGGCAACTTTGCCAGAATAATTCTGTAAAAATGCAGTGAAAATGTAAACATGTTTACAAAACCTATACATTTTAGTTTAAGACTGTAATTTTCGAAGAAATTGACATTTTAAACCAGTAAATCAAACAGTCCTTTTCTGCTTAATTAAGCCACACTGCTGCTAACATCTGTTTTGTACTTTAAACATGTCCTGACAACCACTATGATCACACATAAAAAGAAAGCTACATGATGAGTCCGAGTTAATCCTAAATAAATTTTCCACAAGTAAATACTAATGTAGAAGGCACACACAGTGTTACAAACACAAGCACAAAACACCATCATGGTAACACAATAATGCAATAAACAGTAATTAGCATGTGATGTAACATAAAACCCTACTGATAACAAACTATTAAGAAACAATTATTTAAACAAAATGCTATCAAATGTGAGCAGTCACACAGGGAATTCTGGGAATGCCAGTATACTTTTTGTCTTTGTAAATTATAATAAAGATTTGTTATTTTTTACTCCCACAAACTGTATATTTAACAGTATTGTACTGTAAAATTGCATTAAATGCAAGATTAGATCTAATACAATTTCTCAATATATGTAGTAAGGGAACTTCCTTTAACCAGTTAACAGGTTTTTACTTGTAGCATTTTTTTCAGTTTGAATGTTAGATGGATTTGGTTAACTTTGAGAAAAGACTTACACAGTCTGTCCAGCAGGTGGCAGAAAAGCTCACCATAAACATGTTTATTCATTTTTATTAATCAAGCAGATTTTGACAAATGAGGTCATATTTGATTTTCCTTAGTAAGACTGCTTATGACCATTTTGTAGAGGGTTTGAAAGGCATTTTAGACGGTGGCTGTTTTCACACATTGTTTGTGTGTCAACTGTGCGCTCTTTCTTTTTGGTTTGTTCTGAGGTGAAATGTTCTCAGAAAACGAACCACTCAAAAGCAGATGGGAGAGGTGCTGGGGTTGTTTATGTCGCCAAGAGCCTGTGTTTGTCTGGCCGTCCTCAGCAGGGGCTGGCTGATACGGCGCCATTAATAAGTGCTGCTAGTTTGTCAGAATAAAGAGGATTATTGAAGAGCAATGCTGATGGCAGCTGCTGTAGAATGAGATTGAGAAGCTCAGGTTATTATCTGCAAAACTGCTGTGCACTCAATGAGTCGCAAATATGCGTAGGGTGACCACAACGGGGTAAATAAAACAAGGGCAAGAATCGTAAGCAGTGTTAACAACAGTATTTCTGTAAATGAGTTGCTCTTGTCCGATAATACCAACAAATCAGGGCAATATGGATTAAAACTTTTTTTTTCAAACACCAACTAAATGGCTTTGAGAGCTAATGACTAGCCTTATGTAGGCTGACTGGAATTAAGACCGGATAGGAGTAATCGATTGCGTACATAACTGTAATTGTCTTGAGTCTCCTGCTGCTACATAACACTCCTAATGGAAGCTTTTTTGATGCATCATGATCACAATGTACTAACACCGTTTTTTTTTTTGCAGAGTTTTGCATGTGCACTGAATGCCTAGCAACCATAAAGATAACAGAGGTCAAATGCAAGAGGAAGTTTTCATAGTAGGATTTCTTTAAATGGATAGTTCTGCCTAATATTTAAATTCTGTAATTTACACTCCTTCATGCTAGAAGAACATGATTGAATGTTTTTTTTTT